AGGTAGGGATGATTTTAAGAAAATTTTAATTGACACACAGCTTCCAATATTTGGCTTTTAATTTGGTTTTATGGGGTTTTTTTGTTTTTTGATGTATTTTGTTTGTATCTGTTTTAATATGCTGTGCACCGCCCTGAGTCCTACGGGAGAAGGGCGGTATATAAATTAAATTATTAAATTAAATTAAATTAAATTAAAATTAAATTAAATAAGGCTAGCAACACACTTTCTGACAATTGCTAATGCGGATGCAACATTTGTAGCACTGATACCAGGGTACACGACTGGGCTTACTTTCATCAAATCTCATCTTTTTTCATTAATGCTTTCTTTCATTTGTGACAGGCAAGCTGATGAGGAGTACCAGATTCTGGCAAACTCCTGGCGATTCTCAAGTGCATTTACCAACAGGATCTTTTTTGCCATGGTGGATTTTGACGAGGGTGCTGATGTATTTCAGATGGTGAGGAGTTTCTGGTGACTTAAAGTACTGAGCTTATAGGAATGGCTTATAGGGGTTTTTGTATGACAAATATTGCTTTTATGTTTTAAAAATCTTAAGATATTTAGAAAACAGTCCAAATTATTTTTATTCAAAAATATTGTTTCTCTTCATTAAAAATATTTTGGATTGTCCAAAGGCCAATAGAGGTAAAGATTAAGATCGTAAGAAGATGAGCTGCAGGTTGCTTGTCTTGATTAGTGCTTCGCAACCTTAGCAACTTTAAGATGTTCCCAGACTTCCCCCAGCCAGCATCTCAAAAGTTGCCAAGGTGGAGAAGCTCTTTTGAAGAGCTGAAGAAAAGAGTTCTGCAGTAGACAGATTGTGCCAAGATTGAGAATCGCTGGTCTAGAGTAGCTGGAAGGTGGGAATTCCAGTGGACAAAAGACTTTTCCCATCCTTGTACAGGTATTCCTTAACTTACAACCAAAATTGTTGGGACGAGAATTTCGGCTGCTAAGCAAGGCCATTGTTAAGTGAGTCGCAGTTGTTAAGCAAATCGTGTAATTGTTAAGTGAGTCTGGCTTCCCCCATTGACTTTGCTTGTCTGAAGCATGTTGTGAAGGTCTCAAAAAAAAAATCACGTGATATTTGATGCTGCAACTGTTGTAAATACATTTTGCTTACTAAGCACCCAAATTTTGACCACGTGACCATGGGGATGCTGCAATGGTCATAAGCATGAAGACCTGTCATGTCAGTTGTAACTTTGAATGGTCACTAAGCAAATGGTTTAAATCGGGTGTCAAACTCGCAATGTCACGTGACGTGTTGCGACGTATCGCAATTTTTTTTCCATTCCCGGCAATGGGGCTGGCGCGGTTTTGGCATGACGCACCCAGCCCGCAGGCCAGCAGTTTGACACCCCTGGTTTAAATTGACTACTTGTATAGCCTAATGGCAGAGGAACTTAATATCAGTTATAAACTAAATATTGCTCCCATAAGTTGAGAATCTGGGTTCTTCTGACAGTATGGATTTAAACTTTGGCACTATGGACTAAGTTTTCAATTACATATTTTTGTATATTTTGCTGAAAAATAAAGCTCAACATGAATTCTGCTCCAACCTTCATTAATTTCCCACCAAAAGGGAAACCAAAAAGAGGAGACACGTATGAGCTGCAAGTACGAGGTTTTGCTGCTGAACAGCTTGCCCGCTGGGTGGCTGATAGAACAGATGTCAATGTAAGTAAACACCAGATTTTGCCTCTGATGCGATGCTTTTAAATCTGACTACCCAAAGAGATGGTCTCTTATCCTGTTGTTGCTTTGGGGAACCACTGCTGAACTCCAGGGTATCTCCCTTAACTTCAGAGAGTAGGACTGCTATGCAAAGAGACTGAACAGTTAGCTTAGTTGGTCGAAAATAGAACCAACTTCCATCTTATCTGCTGGATTCAGTACAATACCACAAGCTAAAGCTAAAACACATTATGTCTTAAAATATTGGGACCACAGTTTGGACAATATTGTAAACCACAATTTGTCTTCACGTGTCTTCACATTGTAACTTATTCAGTAAAACTTGTTTAATAAAACCATGGTCTAACTCGGGTTCCCAACCAGAGGTGCTTGCAGGGGGTGCGAAAACTTGGGTTTTCAAAATTATAGTGTATATGCATAATTTGTTGCCTTTATTTCAAACTTTTGTATGGGGTGCAAGAGTATATCAGAAGCGCTCTAGGGGTGCAGGATATAAAAAAAGGTTGGGAGCCGCTGGTCTAACTGGACCCATATAGCTTGCATAAACCAACTGAGAACATGAAAACAATGTTTTTTTAATTCCCGAAGTGGAAAGGACAGTGGTTGAGGGGTCAGATATTTAAAAAAAAAACCCAATCTCTAGAGTTTTCTAGTTTTCAGATGTGCTCAGCTGCTAAAGCCATCATGGCAATGCTTTATAAAAATAAGCTTTGTATTATGGGTTTAGTATTTGTCTTACAACTTAGGAGTGTGCTAGGGTGTGCAATGATGCAATTCAGTGCTCGTCCCACTGATTTATAATTGAGCCTCTTTAGAATATTTGCTTTTTGAATGAACATTTTTTGTAAAATAGCTTGGATATATTTCAATAATCAAATTATTTATTGTAATTGTAATTAAAATATGAAAGTGGCTTGAATATCTAACTTTAGAAGTTAACCAGCATTTTTCTTCATGGGTCATTTCTAATACTTTAAAACATTTATTACCTTTCTCAGTATAATTTTTTTCTTTGGTGGAAAATTGATCTGGAGACCTGCTTTGTAAAGATTCTCCTCCATCATCACATTAGGAGAGCAGTGAAATAAGTTACAACTATTTTTATTGTAGAAATTATAGTATTTATTACTTATTTTAATTATTTCTGTTCTGTCCCTCAAAAGGTACAAACACACATATTAATAAACAAGGCACAACATAATCTTTGTTTTAAAATGTGTGGATCATATGGTGGATCAGTCATCCCATGTAGTACCTTGCCAAGGCCCCCCATGCCAAAGAATTTGATGTGCTCACTTTCCATAAATCATGCAAACATTTTAGAAGCCATGTGGGAGACATCTAATTAGGTAGCATTTTAATGATCCGAATGCTGAAAAGTTACATTCCATTGATGACAGTGAAGTAGCTCTCAGGGCAAGTAGATTCCAGATGACAATTGCAACCTGCCTTTGTCACAGATCCGAGTGATAAGACCACCAAACTATGCTGGACCCTTGATGCTGGGGCTGCTGCTGGCTGTCATTGGTGGCCTCGTCTATTTAAGAAGAAGCAACCTAGAATTTCTCTATAACAAGACAGGCTGGGCTTTTGCTGCTTTGGTAAGCAATCTGACATTTAAAAGACCTCTTTTGACTCCTTGATCTGCTCAATCACACAGGCCATAACATGAACTAAGAAGTTGCATTGTGCATTCTTTTTCCCTTTTTTTAAAGAGAGAACTTGACATATATAGGAAAAAAAGTTCCTGTATTCCTATTTGGGAGGGGTTTTTTGCAGGAAACAGGCAGATCTGAAATCAACATTTTAGACTACCTTTGAGAATAAATTTATTATTGATAGGATATAAATTATACCTGATTAAATCATACTATTGTGTAATTAACGTGTGAATAGTTTGTAAATGCCCATTTTGAGGTTTATCTTAAAAATAAACATTTGAAATAACCTAAAGTGTGAAAAAAGCCCTATTTGAGGTTAGTTGATATATAGCCATGTTCCTTTAGTAGATTTGTTGGTGGTTCACACGGCAGCTAATTTACTCTCTCGTTTTTAGTGCTTTGTTCTGGCTATGACATCAGGGCAGATGTGGAATCACATTAGAGGGCCACCATACGCTCATAAGAATCCTCATACAGGTCAAATGGTGAGTTAATTTTTCCTTGAAACTGGAGCTCATTTTCCTTGGCTCCAGGCCCTCATCTGCTGGGAAATTTCCACATTTAGTGGCCAGTGGGGGGTGGGGGGTAGTGCTGCTGAGAGCATTAATTGCCATAACTTGCCATCAAATTGTTCTGAGCTCAACTTCACTTTCTAAAGAACTGGTCTGAGGGGATTTTCTGTTCACAGGCAAATGCAGGTTTGGAGCTTTGTCCCACTGAAGTAATTTCATGTTTTGATCTCTTTATTTTCTAGAACTACATCCATGGGAGCAGTCAAGCACAATTTGTTGCTGAAACACATATTGTTTTACTGTTTAGTATCCTTGATGATAAACAGAATATGCAAAAGTACAATCAGAAATAATGTTTCTTAGCCTTGTCCTGCTGTGTGATGATTTTACAATTTAGAAAGTGGCATGCATTGGGCTGAGGGGGAATGTGCTGCAAATGTAGTCATACCAGTCTGGGCAAGAGATCACCGGGATGAATCTACAGACCCCTCACCGCCACTATAGCGCCCTGCGCACCAAGACAACTAAACACAGGGACAGTTTCTTCCCCTCATGCCATCCCTCTGCTCAACAACTAATTCCCACCGCACTGTCTTATGCCTAAAGATATTTACCCATGTAGTAACTTTGTAGTATTATCTGTATCTTATCCCCCTCTTATTGGTATTATTATTATTATTATGATTATTCTGTAAGTACACTCAGAGCTTCTGCACTGGAGACAAATTCCTAGTGTTTCTAATCACACTTGGCCAAATAAAATATTCTATTCTATTTTATCTGTAGGAGCAGGTAAGAGGTCTGAAGGTGGCTTATTCTGTTGTAGTTGCAACTGGTTTCAGTATTGTAAATGCAACATTGCTATCTTGAGTTACTTCAAGTAGGCCTTGCTTACTGACTGCCTTGTTTCCCATTCATTGAAGTTACAGTGGTGTAAAAAAACATATTTTCAAGTAAGCCTTGCATTTACAACCATTGTTGTATCTCCTTGTCATGGGGGTCTCTATTTCTGCACTTCATCGTCGGCTTCTGACAATCCAAGTTAATGGAGAAAGCGGAAATAATGTGATGTCTTACTTAATAATTGTGATTCACTTAACAACCAAAGAGGAGATGAGGTTATGAGCCCATTGCAGCCAGATGATTTTCCACTTAGCAACTATGGTGTTTAGCGATTGAGTAGCCAGTCCCAGTTGTGGTCACTAAGTGAGGAATAGCTGTAAAAATACCCCTGCACCCTAGTTGGAATTGTCATTCTGTGTTACGTTCAAATGACACACTAAACTATGGGCAGATGTTTTGTTAACCATTGCTGTAGTTAGCGTAGAAATCTGAATTTTTGCAATAATTATGTAAGATGGGAACGCTCTCAATTTCTCTCAGAGATTAAAGGCTTTGTTCTGTTCATGGCTATAGCCTTAACCTGCCTTCTCACAGATGCAGGTGTCACTCTGGGGATTGTGCTTCTTTATCAAGCCGCTACATCTGACTTGGAAGTGGGGAAGAGAAAAAGTAAGTATCAAAATAGACAGCAAAACGCTTTCATTGGATTACATGGTTAGAACGCAGGTGGGGAAGAGAGGGACTGTTGCACAGCATTTCTTAGGATAAATCCGTTGCCAGTATAAAATATGTTTGCCATCCCTTTTAATTAAAGGGTTTAGGACACTTTTTAGTGTTCCTGAAAGTTTTTCTCACAGACTTGCCTTCCTGGAGCATTGCTGCACAAAGTAGCGCCAGTCATTAGAAAGGCATCTTTGCAGGATTTTGGGCTGTCTCTCCTCCAGCTGCTGGAGCTGCTCCCTCCGGTGGGGTCCACAGCAAGTTGTTTGTTGTGTAAATGAAATCAAGGCAGTGGCTGTCTTCACATTTTGCAAAACAGCCCCTCCCCTTTCCAGTGCTTTGCTGACCCGTTCTTTACATTTCATCTCCCAATAATTTTTGGGTAGCACGAACCATCTTCTCTGCTCTTCCGTAGTAATGTGCGTGGCTGGCATTGGCCTCGTGGTGCTGTTCTTCAGCTGGCTCCTCTCAATATTTAGATCCAAGTACCATGGCTACCCATACAGGTATGTGTGTTTTCTATCTTAAATTACTCTGCTCCAAGAAATAGATTCTTAATAGAACGATGACATGCAGCAGCCAACTTCCCAATATATGGCACACCCAATATGGGCATAGTTTGGGTTGTCCTAACTTCTTAATAGGTAGAAAACCCCACTCGCTGAAAAGCCACGTTGTCCTTCCCGCTCTATTATCTGGCATATTTTCATTTGGTATATTTTTATCCTCTTTTGAAGTAATGCTTGACATTCACATATGGAATGCTGCAAAACACATTTGTTTTCGGTTGGTGTCATTAGGATTAGGAAGGAATCACTTTTTTATTAGATAATGGTGCATTCATATATGTCTGTGCGTGTGTATTTCTTTTCAGCTTTCTGATGAATTAAGAATGTTGCTGTGTTGCGATTCGCCAAAGTGGAGCGCTGGCATCCAAGATCCAGATTGTGCTACCTCTCTTTGAAATGAACGAAATCATTGCACACCTAACCAAAGATACCTGGTGCCTTGGCAAGACAAACTGTTTGCCCTAAATGTCAGGATGCATATTACAGCCCGTTACTCTTTCCCATTCATCTGAGGCCGAGGGAGTGCTCCTTGTCCTGAAAGCAAGGGAGCCTTAATTCTCAGGCCACAATTCCGAAAGCTTACCTCGGTGCATCTCCTGCACCTTATGCCTAGCATGTGTGTACAGGAATGTTCTGTTTGTAGTTCTGCACACTGCAAGACCTTCAGAAGTGGCTTATCTGGGTTGATGGGCTTTTTTAGACAAGGATGCTTCTTTAATAGGTAAGCCCCCATCATGGCCATTTTTCCAGCACCTGCAGGGATTTTATTTTTCAGCAAGGTTTCTTACTGGGGAGAACTCTTGCAAGACCTAGGCATGCTATCCCTTGATACAGGAAGAGAGTCAGATTTTTGGTGTTTTGGTTCTGTGCAGTAGGTGATTTGCTTTCGCCTAAAGAGTAGAACCAACAGATAAACACTGAGGGGGGAACCTCCTAAACATTTGTTTGATAAAGTAGCTTCCTTGGGACTTTTCTTCAAAGAGAAATGAAGAATGATGCAATGTGTGAGGCCATTTCTATTGCTATTTACTTGGTCTCCTGTTTCTGTACAGAACTTCCTAGAATTATATGCTGCCCTTTCATCATATGTGGATAGTTTTGAGATCTGCACCACCATGTAGATTTAGCTTTGCAATTAAGTTCTATTACTGTGCTGATCTTTATCAAAGACAGCTACCTGCTCAGCTTTGATAATGGACATTATTTGTGGTGGGTAGGACTAAATATCCAGTCCTCCACTATGTTCCCAAAATATACCACTGGCATTCTTAAAATTCTTTTCATAATTGAGCAATTGGGAGGATGAACACAAACAGAATCTCCTCTTTATCTCTTGTGTCGGTGCTTTGTATATAACCCTGGCAATTGTACCAAAATCAAAGGGTGATCTCATTGGAAAAGTAGCTGATGGGGGGGGGGAACCCACTTAAATTGAAACATTTCCCATTCTGAATCCTGACAAGATATTAGACATGGTAACCTGTCTACCTATGGCAATGGAGACATACTATTCAGTGGACTTTTTTTCTACTTCCAAGGCCTTTTGGAGAGGAAAAAGAGAATCCCAAAATAAGTAGAGACAGTGATCGCTAGTTTTCTTCAGGCGAGAGAGAATTGTGTGCCATTTGAACAATTCTCCCTTTTTCTCTGAGTCCTGGTTGGTTTTTATGCTAAGGCCCAGATTCTCTATGGAGGAGGGTTTGGTAGCATTGGTTTACTTTGGGCAGGGTGTAATAAGGGCTGTGGAAGATCAAGAAAAATGTATTTCTTGAAGTAGCTACAATTGTAACTCAGCTGTTTAGTTTTCTCTTACACAGGTTTCCTATATTCAGTTACTTTCCAAGTGCCTTAACACCATTAGACAATTTTTCAGTATTTGATTCCAACAATGTTTGAAAAATACCTTTTTATATGATTGAGAGCATCCAACTTGTAGCATGGATATTGAAATGACTATTATGGATATTTGTCAGCTTTCAATAAACAATTTCTTAGCCTGAATCAGCATTTTTTTGTGAACTTGACTGGAAAACCTCACTGCACAGAGATGTTCTCCTGCACATCGTTCCCCCCTTCATTGTGGAGAGGAGGTAGCTGAGAAGGTGCCTTTCAGTCCGCTTCAATATTGGCACCATTGGGATTCCATTCATTTAGATGAGGGGATTGCCACTGGGCCACGGGAATGGCTGGCCAGCATGCGCACAGGCATCCTCACTTGCGCGAGCAGTGGGTGAGCGTGCCCCATTTGCGTGACCGGCCACTCGCCAGATCTATTTCCTGTGTCCCCACCACCACCAGTCTGCAAAGCCAGAAATGTTGGGGAACTCTGATTTAGATGCTTTTAATTACAAAATTGGTGCATTGTGTCAAGCCTTATTTCCAAGAATATTTACAGATTCCCCATATATTTGCAGAAGCTGTTCTTCAGAAAAACAATAAAAAATAGATTGTATGTCAGTTGATACAGGATCTTTTTTAAAATATAGATTGGTCTATTTGTTGAATTGACTGAATTCTACATTTTACTTAATGATTTATTAATAAATTTCATTTTCTGCATACTGTATGCAGATGGAGTACAACAATATTTAAAACAATCCAGCAACAAAAACTGTACTAAAATATGGAACTGTCATTTAGAAATCCCATTCAAAACTGAAGGATGCTTCTTAATTTGGTTTCTTTGGAGAGCACTTCTGCTATTAGGCTCCACAATTAATGTCTCGTTATTGGAAAAACAAGGTGTGTCTCCTCTGAATTCTAGTTATTTTTCTTATATTTTTAAATTTAGATTTTATTTTATTACTTTATAAATAACTCAAAGCGGTGGATACTTCCTCCTATTCTCCCCACAACTCTGTGGACTGGGCTGAGCTGAGAGGGGTGACCGGCCCAAGGTCACCCAGCGAGCTTTCATGCCTAAGGCGAGACTAGCAATCATTTTCTGGTGATTGGCCCAAACTCCGCCAGCTTTTGTGCCTAAGGCAAGACTAGAACTCAGTCTCCTGGTTTTTAGGCCTGCAACTTCATCACTACACCAAACTGCCCCTCTTGTTTCTTCAAACCCACCCAGAGCCATTTTGGAATCAGATGGCCTCAACATTTAATTAATTTAATTAACTAAATATTTAGTTTCCCCTCTTGCTGTCCATAGCCTGTCATAGAAAATCAAATTCTGAAAACAAATTTATCAGTAACACCTAGTCTAATGAAACAATTTCTTACTATAATATTGGAATTGACTGGTTCTAAGAAAAAGCTATTGTTGCCAAGAAAATTGTCTAAGAAAATCACCAGGAATTGGTTAGATGTGAGGTGGGCAATGTATATTTTTTCTTTTAAAATATCTTCATCTTGATATAAGTATTTTGAATATCATTCATTTTAGTTAGCGGAACAGTTACCTCCAGAAATCATGGGCGCTCCATCACTGGAGATTTTTAAGAAGAGACTGGACATTCACCTGAGACAGTATAGGTTCTCCTGCTTGAGGAGGGGGCTGGACTAGAAGACCTCCAAGGTCCCTTCCAGCTCTATTCTATTCTGGTTTTACTTTGGCTCATTGTTACATATATTTTGACTCCTGAACATGTTGCACTAAATTTATAAACTATGATTGTCAGATTACAGTAATTGTAATTATTATCTATGATAACACAGAAATAAAGGCTATGATGATTTTGTTGATGTGAACCTATTCAGCTTTATAAATCACAAGTTAGAGATTAATGATAGAATGCAGCCAATTTTGGTTTTATTAAGTTATTATTTAGCTTATGACAGAAGAGAAGTAAACATATATACACAGTCTATGTAATTACAAGTAAAACTTGTATATGGGTATGGCAGTGGCCTCATAACTGGATGTCCAATTCAGCTATCCAGGCACTCACCTCTGGTGTTGCTTCGTGCAGATCTTCTAAGGCAGTGGTCCCCAACCTTTGCGACTTGGTTGGGGGGAGAAAACGGGGCCGCATGAACAGCAGGCTGGCGTGCACCCACCACTCACACAAGTTGAGCTCTGCGCGCTCCAGCCACCACTTGCATGGCCCAATTCCAAATAGAGCACGGCTTGATAGTGGGCCGCGGCCTGGGGATTGAAGACCCCTGTTCTAAGGAACCAGAGAACGCATGGCGTAGGCAATCTTGCACAATATGTTTAATAGTTTGCACATCAACATCACAATCACAAGGAGGGGAATCTCCATCCCCACTGACACGCCAAGGCACTTCTTCCAGTATCACACCTAATCCTGTCTAACTTAAGGAAGATAGGTCAAAACCAGGTGGTTTGGTAGAGTGCCAATGGTCAGGCCACAATTTTGGACCATTGCTCTCTCCAGGGGTTCTTGGGATTCAACTGGGTAGGGGTTAAGGGAATGGCTGTTTTCTAAGCTGGCCTTATGCGGGATTTCAATCTTGTGATGGGCTGCGCATTGTCCTGGTGGACAGGGAGGGCCCTGTTGTTCAGCATCCTTGACCATAGCTGAACGAGAGCTTGTTGTCTTCTAATGCAAGGCAGTACTGCTAAGTACTGGCAACCAGTGCTAAGGAGTGGGATGCAATGTAACAAGAGATGATACACCTTGTCCGGTGGAGTTGAATATTGATCATTTGGTTGTGGGTGCTGGCACAATATTTGGGTGTGGGCGCCGGCACAATATTCAGCTGTGAAATAAGCCAAAGCCAAAGCTGTTGTTCGTGGGTATTAGCATCAGCACCCCGGGATGTTCCAGCCAGTCTGTGCAGTAAATTGTTGCAGCTTTTCAATTTTGCAGATTTTTTTCCAGGAGTTGCCAGAAGGTTAATCATCTATCCAGTGTTATCCCCAGGTACTTCGGAGAGCTTATGGTTCTGAAACTTCACTGCAGAAGAACCTATGCCACGGGTGTCAAACTCGCCACACCACGTGACGTGACTCTTTTTGCATTGCTGGCAAAAAGTGGGCGCAGCTTCGGTATGATGAAACCGGCCCACGGCCCTGACCATTTCAGACAAGCGACTTCAATTGCTTAAGTTCAGATCTAATTTGTCTGGAGAATTTCTTACATCTTGTCCTTGAAGCAGAGAGGAGATGATTAGCTATGGATTCCATGCTGAAGGTAGAATGCTTTCTCAACAGTAATGTTAAATGTAAAAAACTTTATAAAGTCGTACAATGTGTTTTAAAATAAGAGAGAAAAACAGATGCGTTAAGCTCTGTGGCAAACTAGGTGTGCAACACACAATCAGTCTGTTGCGGGTGGGACGTCGAAAGCGTCCCCGTTGCCTGCCTTGAACGAGGCAGAAGCAGCATTTCGCATTTGGTCGAACGGCAGGAGAGACTTGGGGCCCTGCAATCCGATCTGTTTCAATGACGTCATACGGCGTGACAACAGCCGACGACAGCCACCATAGTAGCCAATCGGAAGCGGTAGAGAGGAGCGATGACGCCAACCGCCCTAGCAACAGCGCCGGCGCGACCTGCCCAATCGAAAAAAAGATGCCAGCCCCCTAGAGCCAATGGCGGGACGCGGAGCGAAAGAAGGAAGGCGGGGGAGAGGAGGTGCCTTCCCTCCTCTTCTCGCCGACAAGATGGCGGCAGTGGCGACTGTGGTGGGGTTGATGGCGCCAACGGCTTTGTTTCCTCTCAGCGCTTGAAGCTGGCCGCCCCCGGCCCGGGAGCGACGAACAGCGACGGAGACATGACCACGGAGCCCGCGAGGTAGGCGGCGGGAGCGGCAGTGGGGTGCGCGTGCCTTCTGGTGAGGCAGTTCAGCCGGGTGAGGGGCGGAGAAAGGCGGGGGCGACGGCGGGAAAAACCCCGATGCCGGTATTCTCGCCGCACGCCTAACTGAAAGCGGGAGCCTCCTTCCCGCTAGTTGTTGCGTGAACACCGTGTTGCGGGTTATCTGACGATGTTAGAGGTAGGGTTGGGGGACGGGACAGGACGGGCCCTCCCCCCCTCGCGCTTCCCGCCTATGCGCATGCGCAGTGGGGGCGGGAAGGGCTGTCTGCTCCTGGGCGCCCCCGGGCGGGCACCCGCACTTGCCCTCCCCGCTTGGGGGCGTGGTCTTTGCCACCTATTTTTTTCGGCCTCGCTCCGCGGCTCCGGTCGTGCAGCACGGTGTGACCGAGAAGGATGGGCCGCTGCACAGGTGCGTAGTTACCTGCCCATCTTTAGGCATATGGAAGGAACTTTTCGCAGTCCTATGCCCGGTGTGTTTGTGGCGATCTTGCCCCGTGAGCCTTGTCCTTGGCGGCGATGGTGGAAATCGGGATTGACTTCCGATCATAATCCTGGCATTTAATGGCTTCTAGCGGAGACATCCGGTATATAGATGAGGATTGCTGGGACCTTAAATAAAGGATGGAATCAGCCCCGACGCTTGGTAGTAGCTCTTGTGGGTTCGTCCTTTGTGTAAACACAGTCAGTTTTATTTATGGCTTAGTCTGTTCTGTAGATCCATCACGGGGGTTAAAATTGAGACAATTGTGGTTTGGTTGAAAATTTGACCAGTGTTTGTCAACTTTGGCAGGTTCAAGATGTGTGAACTACAATTCCCAGAATTCTGTGGATTGAAGTCCGCACATCTTCATGCTTCCAAGTTTGAGAAACACTGGATTAGATTGCTGTGTGAACATAACCTTTGTTATGACACAGGGTTAAATTAAGTGTCTCTGTGTTTCTTAACAACAGGGATTGTTTTGTGCTTCTTCAACAACAGAATTCACACTTTGTTAAAACATATATTGTTGATTCAGGATGTATGAAATCTCCAGTTGTGGTTTGTAGATCATAATTTATGATTTCCATGAACCATTTGTGTTTACACAAGTAATCATGATTAAGCAAACCATGGATAAAATATGATTGCTCCTCTTTAATCACTTTACCTCTTGGTCTAAATTTGAATATTATACTGGTCCCCTAATCATATTTTAATTTGCCTTTTTCTGCAAGTCAAGTTGGTGAGTTCTTATTTTATACTATCAACAGTTTTCCTTGCCTACTATCCTTA